AGGGGCAGCCAACAGGACCTTAATTTTAACTGCAGGCAACGTGAATCACTGTTTATTAGGAAATGTTTTATTTTCCAAGGTGGAATCCCAGCAGCTGTTCTGGTAAAGCCACAAGTGAGTAAGAGCAGCCTTGAAATCACCTTCCTCTGGCAGATGCAGGGTGTTCCTATGGGATGCTCTGACCAAAAGCCTTCCCCAGAATGACCCACCCTCCTCTCTGACTCCTTGCAGCACCTGCCAGGCACTTGCTGTTGAACTGTAAGGTGTGGACAAAGATGATTCCCTCTGGAATACAAAAAGGGATGATCTGAGGGGTCCTTCCTGGCATCAGCCACAGATGGGGCAAGGTATGGAAACTTCCAGCCCTTGCAGTGGGGGAGGAAAGGCTGAGAAAGTCCCCAAAGGCCACGAGTCTCAGAGCACAGATCCTCCTTCCACACCCGTTTAGTCCTTTTCAGATGCATTTCTACCTTTAAAAACAACTTAAAAAAAAAAAAAATCACTTTTCAGCGTGCCCAGGTGCAGCCAGGAATGCAGCACCTGGTAACCCAGCCATCTGTCTCTACTTGCTGGTTCCCTTTCACAACTCACAAAAGCCCCTCTGGCCTGAGGTCCATGCAAATGCCACCCCCTGGAACAGAGCCCAGGGGAGCTGGGAGTGAGCCAGAGAGGGCTCAGGGTGCAGCTTTGCTTCGGGAGAGGGCAGGAGTGGAAGGCTTGTTAGACAGGTTTAAAAATATCCAGGGTTCAAATGGGCACGAATAAATCCGAAACCACCACCTAATCCACGTGTCGGTGCAAGTTGGAACTAGAGAGGGCCCAGGAGAGGCCATGGAGGCTCCTGGGGATGTTCATAACCCCCAGCAGGGCTCCAAAACCCACAGTGGGTGATGGCTGGTCAGTGCTGGCACCACAGGGACAGCCAGGAAAGAGCAAGAGTTGAACATCTGTGCCGAGCCCACCACCTGCTGCAAAGGTTTTTGGGTTGCATCCGTTTCTGTCTCAAATCTGAGAGTCAAGAGGCCTCTGAGCAGCTGCAGTTCCCTCCAGGGGAGCACAAAGCTGTCCCTGGAGTGTGGGGTGGGAGCTGCAGCTCCAGCCACCACCTGCCAGCTCAGCCCAGACCCTCTGGCTGCCCCTTAGGAGTTGCAGCCCTTAGGCAATTACCTGCTGCTTCAGGTACCCAAATAACCTGGAAATTCCTCTGGGAACAAAGGGGTTTAATGGGAACGTGGCCTGGGCTGTGGCTCCTCTTGCAGTGACGAAATGGTGGTGCCCCTGCTCATCCTCGGGTCACTTGACATCTCCACGATCCTAAAAATATGGTTTTCAGGCTCCCCCAAAACACTTCCAGAGCTCCTAAACAGCACTTTGCAGCAGCTCAGCCTTGTGTTCCCACCTTCCCAACGCTCCTCAGGCACTCTGGATGGCCTGTGGCATTTCTATCCCTCTGCCTTTATCATGTTAAAGAACAGAAATTGCACTTTGCACAACCAGTACCCCCCCCCAGGACCGAAAGGGAAGCCAAACAGCCCCTGCCAGCCCTGCCTGTTAAAGGTGGGGTCAAAATGCTCCACACTGGTCAAAGCTGGTGTTTAAACGCTCCAAGCAGGTTCTCCGTGGGCCAGCTCCTTCCTTTCACCACACCAACCACCAGTTAGGGATTCAAAGCACGTTAAGGATCGATACCCCGTGGAAGAATTCACGGGATACCAGTGGTGCAAAGGGAAAAGCCACACAAGCCACCGGCTGGTTCGTGCCACCCGCAGTCCAAAGGCCACCTGAGCGTGTCAAAGGGGGGAAAAAAAAAACCAAAAAGTTGTTTTCCTGAAGGGAGGGCACCTTTCCAGGGGGTGGGACAGAGGCCGGAGCTCCCCGGACGAGACTTTATCTCCCCACAAAGCAAGGACCGCCCTCAGGCCGCGGTTTGTGCCGGGGCCCAGGAAAAGCTCAGTTTAAACCAAAACAAAGCCCCAAAACGCCAACAAGGCCGAGTTCCCAAAGCCCAGCCAAGCCCTGCCCTGAGAACTGGGATGGACAGGTTGGGGCCCGAGGCCTCTGCCTTGTGCAGAACAAGGAAAACCAAGCAGAGGTTGGGTTCTTGGAGCCAGGAGGGAGCTTTAATTATATCTAATTTCGGCACCAGGGCAGTTCCTTGCAGATTTCCCCACCCTCCCCACGGACTAGATGTATTTTTAGTTTATATAAATACATATATAATATATAGTGTATATATACATATACATAAGGTTTATTTTTCTTCCTTTGGTGGGGAAGGAATTCCACTTGTGTCTATATTTAAAATGCAACTACTCAGTGTGACTTTCTCCTTTAATTAAGGCCTTTACCCCCTAATAAAAAATAACCCAAATCCCAAACCCTCTCTCGTGCCAGGCCTGCACTGACTTACTGATTCAACCTGCCAGGTGGGAATGTGCCCATTTCTGGCACCAGGATACACAGGAATCCGCAGGTGCAGGGCACAGGGATGACCGGGCTTGGGTTCGTTGTAGGGATGAGAAATGGCAAGAGAAATTCAATTTTGCGCCGTTCCCACTCCCAGTCTGCAGAACCCCCTTTGTTCAGAGCACTGGTAATTAAAACATGCAAATGACTGCTCTGCTTTTGTGCCATGCATAAGGAATGGTGTTTCCTCACCTTTATTCCACGTGAGAACAGCAGGAGCAAGCACTGCCCTCAGCCAAGCCAGCACCTTCCACAAGCTCAGGATCACTCAGGGTAGGACTGGGATGAAGCACAGGGGATGATGACCTTGTGCTGACTGGAATCACTTCCCCAGACCAAGTTTCAAAAAAAAACTTCATCGAAATTCAGGTTTTATTTCCAAAACAGTCATGAACTTAATAAATTACACAATAATTTTCCTCATTATAAATTCTCCTTAAAATATATTTTACAGTTTTTAAAGAAAAACGTGGCCAAAACCAAACCCAAACAAACAAAAAAACCCCCCACTTTTCTAAGTGCTGAAAAGTCTCTTGACTTTGTGTCACGCTGGTGAACGGCTCTGCAGCTGCTACAACAATTTGATTTATTTGTTTTCTTTAAAACAAGAAGACCTCAGACAACAACAATAACAACAAAAAATCAAACAGAACACAGACCTCGAGGACTGCCAGTGTCACCCAACAGCGAGGATAAGCACCATGAGAGGGATTTCAGGTACCCCCAACCTTTAAAGTGGCAATCAGTGCAAAGAAACACTTTGGGAGTCAAAAAAAAAAAACCAAAACCACAACAAAACACCAAAATTCCCTGTGCCATTCCCTTGTTTCTGCACTGCAGGCAGTGAAATATGCCCAGTGAAACACTTCAGAGATGATTTACAGAGCATCTCCGAGGTGAGAAGAATTATTCTGCTTGAGTCTGACTTTTGGGTGGGCAGGGCAGGAGGAAGTTTGCCACGTATTTTCAAAAAGCTTCACGTGCAGAATGATAAACCCCCTTCAAGCTTTACTCACCCAGTGACCCTGCTGAGATGGGAGAACTGGGAAACAGTGTTGGCACAGCAGCAAAGTCTATTTGTCTGAGAATCGCTCCCTCAAAGGCTGAAGTGGAAGCAAATAACAAGAAATAAGGATTAAGGCCACCTGGGTGATGGCCAGCAGCTCGTACAGCACCAGGTCAGAACCACGTGTGGTCTGTGAAGTCTCAGAAGTTTGGTCAAATCAGAAAAACAACAACAACAAAAAAAAAGGGTGTTTTGTTTATTCACGCTCAGACAGAACAAACAGACTGACTGACCAGAACTGCTCTCCCAGCACTACAAGGGAACAGCATCCAAGACCCAAATTATATGAGGAAATGCTTATGGCCCTTTTCAGGTGGGATTTGGGTGGGAAATTATTGGGAAAAAATTAAATCGAACTGATTAAGAAAACTGGCCTTTCCTGCCGCTTTAAAGGCAGTTTTAAGACTCTGCTTTTTCCAAAAGGTCAAACTGGATGGGAAAGGTCAGTCCTGCAGCCAAAAGAACAAAGTGTTGTGCTGTTACAAAGAGCCTCTGTCTGCTCTGCAGTGTCAGGTGGCCTCGGTGAAACCTCTCCCAGCGTATCAATCTGCTTCTGTGCAACAGGAGCTGGGGATAAGCAGCTTCCAACTGCTCCAAAGCTTTCCACCCCACCATCTGTGCTTTTAAATAAATATTACTTCATTAAAAGGAGGAAAAATAATAATAATAATAATGAGAAAAAAGAAAAATCAGCCAAGGCTGCCACCTTTCACGTACCTGTTAATGAGTTTTCTCTCCTATTTGAGAACAAGGGGGTCCTACAAGAAAAAGAGTCACCTCTGTCTCCTCTTCCCCGTTGGGTTAGGGGCAGTTCCAGGCAGGAAAAGGCCATGACCAGTATTATTAATTGGATTCAGTGAATGGGAAAACTGTGCTGCCACCCTCTTTTGAAGAGCCTTAAAATTATGCTGCTGGATTCCCTCATCCCTGTTTCCATAAAGTAAGGGCACAGTACTCTGCTGTTATAAATCCTCAAGGTGCTATTGGATTGTGGACACAAGAGCAGATTAATTGATTAATAAAGTATCTGACCACTAGAAGAAAGCAAAAATCAAATGATCAGTGAACCAGCCCACGCCAGCCCCTGACTGTACATTTTTAATTTGACTCCCTTGGTGATGAGCTCGTGAAGTTCCAAGTGCCAAGCTCGGCCACTTCAGCACTTCAAAAAACTGCTGGTCCCCTTGCATTGCTTTGTTTACAAAGTCAAGTCTTTGACATCAGATAACAAAAATAAATAATAAAGTTATTCAGGCCTGGAGAAGAAGGAACGCTTCTCACCCACCTTCTCCACCCCAGTTTTCTAGCAGACCCCAATCATTCAGACCCACAGCAAATAATTTAAGTGCCACACACTCACAGTCACTCATGTACATAAATATATACACAGATTACATTACAAAGCCTGAAGATCTGCACTACCAGCATGCAAATCTTTTGTGTTTTTTTGTTTGTTTTTTTTTTTTTCTTCCATGAGAGTTCCTAATACTGACATAGGAAACCGGAATGTATGAAATACTCCATGACACACTGCTGGAAATCCGAGTCTTGGCTCTTACAACATCCCACTGCCAGCGCACACACAAAGGAACACCCTCACGTCTCCCACAGGCCCGGAACACCTGGTATTTTACACACCAGCACAACTGGCCAACTCAACATTCCTGCTGGGAAAACCCAAAGAGAGAGATTCATTCGGGGAGGAAACTGCACCCTGCAGGTGAGTTCAGGCCCCCTGCCATGAAGCTGTACCGCGGGCTGGGCGAGGGGCAGCGGGTCACGTGTCCCAGCTGCTGTCCTTAAAGGCTATGTTGACCAATCTCAGCTCCAGCTCGAAGGCATCGGGGCGGTCCTGCGGGTTGGCCGCCAGCATCTCCTTGATCAGCTGCTTCATCCGGGCGTTCATGGATTTCTTCTTCACGGGGATGAGCAGCTCCATCTTGGGGTTCTCCAGCAGCGCCTCTCCCACCGGCACGATGGCCGTGCCCTGCTTCACGTAACTCCCCAGCAGTTCCTTCTTGGTTTCCGTGTCTATGAAGGTGATTCTCTCCAGCATTGCCCAGATGATGATCCCCAGGGCGAAGATGTCTGCCTTGGCCGTGTAGTGTCCTTCCCACACCTCGGGGGCCATGTAGAAGTCGGTCCCGCAGGCAGTCGAGAGGAAACACTTATTTACGTTGACCGGCTCCTCGGGATTCTGTCCTGAGGCTGAACACACTTTGCTCAGCCCAAAATCAGCCACTTTCAGGGTAGGCTCCAAGTCACTGGCGTCCATCCTGCTCTGGGAGATGAGGATGTTGTCGGGTTTGAGATCACGGTGGATGATCTGGTTCTTGTGCAGGAAGGCCAGGGCGCTGCTGAGCTGCAGCATGAAGCTGGTGTTGGTCTTACGGTTGGGCTTTCGGGACAGCAGGTACTCGTTCATGTCTCCTCCGTCACAGAAATCCATTACAAACCAGAGGTAATAAGCACTTTTGGGGTCAAAGGCTATTTCTCCTTTTAGTGAGGTTTCTACAAGCTGCAACGAGGAAAGGAAATGTCATAACTACCTGATGATTGTGGGAATTTAAGGGTGTGATGGAGAAATGCGTGAGATCTGGATCTTCATGAAGAGGGGAAGTTTAGGTTAGATATACAGAAGGAATTCCTCCCTGTGGGGAGACCCTGGCACAGGTTTGCCCAGAGAAGCTGTGGCTGCCCCATCCCTGGAAGTGTCCAAGGCAGGTTGGACAAGGCTTGGAGCAACCTGGGCAAGTGGAAGCACCTCAAGCTGTCCCTGTCCATGGCAGGGGGGTGGAACAGGATGATCCTTAAGGTTCCTTAAAACCCAAACCATTCTGTGGTTGGTTGATCTTCCTCTCAACAATCCAGAGAGCAAGATATTGCAACATGGGAAAAAAAAAAAAAAAACAAAAAACTTTATGCAAAAATTTTTATGTAACAGAGAAAAAAAAAAATAAAAATCACAATATATTTGCCAGCCTCCTCATTTTCATCTGTGCAGAGCATATCAAGCTCACACTCCTGCCCAGCAGCAGAGCTCGACCCTGATAACAGTATTTTCAAAGATACTCAGTGGCCATTGCCCTCCCATCTGTCCCAGCTGGACAGTGTCCCACCCTGACAAAGCCTGTCCCACCCATTTTGCCAACAGCTTCCATGGATAAACAAAGTCTCACAAGTAACTCCACACAGCTGCATTCACCTCCTGCTTCCACCAGAGATTTTTTTTTTTTTTTAAGCCTGCTCTCCATTCCTTACACATTAATGAATTCCAGCAAGTTAACACAGGATCCCTGAACTCAGGAGCACACTGATCTCCAGGCACAGCTGAGCACGTAGTGCCTTTCCCACCATCATTATCCACAGGCTATTTTCTGGAAGACAAGTCTAGCAGCTGCTTCATACAAAAAGCAAAGCAAAACCAGCAATCAGTTTTACTAATCCTGTTTACACAGCTACATTTGCCTCTTGAGCTCCTCTGAGGTGCCTCTTAGCAGGCTCTGCAAGGTAAGTTCCTGCAATTATTTATGTTAGCAGTAAACCAAGGGATAATAAACCAAACTGGCTTTCAAAAATTAAGGTATGGGTTAATATTTAGGGAAGCATTTTGAAGTGCTTTAAAAAAAGTGGCCTTTTCCATCCAAGGGCAAAATTGGTAGTAATTTACAGCTATCTTCCCACCCCAACTCCAGACAGTAAATCCATGTTAGAACTAGAAAGTGACGTATTTAGGGTTTGTAGTCAGGAACAGGGAGATTAAGGTATCTCAGGAGAGCAGGGCATCTCCTCTGCCAAGTGAGCACCAACACAGCTCTGCCGTCCCCGGAGTCACAGGAGCTGCACTTGCACCTGCTCTGAGAGTTAAGACAACAAAATCCACCTCTGGGTCTCTGACAGCGGCAAAGCTCCACAAGGCCAGGCTCGTTTAGGACTCAAACCCTCCAGATTTGGTTTGGCTGACACAAAGCATCTGCCCCAAAGCCCTCCAGGAGGCACTGACACCCCCTCCCCTGCTTCCTCACACACCTGGGACAGCAGAGGCCAAGCCCAGGGAGGGTGGACTGTCCTCATTTTAGCCCAGGCTGTTACAAAGTGACCCCAGTCACAGCTCAGCTCTGCCCTTTGCTCTTTGGAGCAGGAAAACAATCCCTGGAGCTTGCACCAGACAGGAGCCAGATCCATGTGCCGCCCTCCTCGTCATCCAAACCAGTGCTCTGGGTCATCTGGAAGCTCGTCCCCACCTTGCAGCTCTGCCCTGGGGTTTTTGAAGCTCCTCCCTGCACATCTGCCCACACAACCCCTCGCACAGCTCCACTACCAACCAGGAAGGTAAAGCGCTAATTCCTCCCACGTAGAGCTGGCCAGAGTTGTTTTAGCCTAAAATCCCTTCATGAAAGCAAAATCAGTGGCAGCTCCTGAGGACAGGGAGGTCACAAAGCCAAGAATCCTCATTCTCAGGCTCGGACAGCACCTGGCACAGTGGGATCCCAAGGGCTGTCAGGTGGATCTCCACCAACGAAAGGTCCACATCAAACACGCAGGAATGAGAGTAAAAACTGAAGTGATAAAAGCTGATCAAGGATAACACAAACACTGAGCAGGCTACTGACTTTTCAAACCAGAGGCACAAATTTCTGCAGCTCCTTGGCAAGGGAATTAATTAGAGTATCTTTCAAAGCCTTTCTAATGCTACTTATTCTTCAAAAGTACACATCTTTAAACTTGAAGGACACTTTCAGAGTGGCATTTATTCCCTTATTTATCATGCCTTTAGCACTCTTTTGAGAGATTAGTAGTTATTTATCCAAAAACCCAAACAGCTCATGACATGCTACCAATTGCCTTATTGTTTCTGGAAGAATTTTAAGTGTTGGCTTCCTAAATCCAGACAGTGACTTCCTCTTCCAAGGACATCTGACATGAAACTCCTCACAGCTCTGTCCCAAGACATCAGTGCGCGTCTGCTCCTTAACCTGCTGCCAGGGGACACCACAGCCCGTAGCTCCCCTGGGTTTAACTTGTGGGGCTTCCTCAAATTGTCAAAGCAGATCTGCATTAAATACATTAAACCTGGCGCCTTTTAGAGCAGCGTGGCTTCAAATCATGATATATATATAGATTAACTTTGGGGCGTCAGCAGTGCAAACAACACCCTCTCCTGACTGAGCACACCTCACAAACACCACCTGGGCTGCCCCACCTCCTTCCACCCCCCCCACCAAAGCTGACACCCCGCCAGTGATTCCTTCCACCCCGTTCCCTCGGCCTCGTGTACCTGTAAATACAGGGAGGAGCTGGAGCCATGGGACATCTTCTGCACCATGCCATCTTTCTGCAAGATGCACTCCTCCAGGTGAATGACGTTGGGATGCTGGCTCTTGATACTGCTAAGTGCCCAGAACTCCCGCAGAGCCAGTTCCACGTTCTCCGGCGCGTGGCACCGGATCTTTTTCACCGCGACCCGGGCCGAGGTCTTCCTGACGACTGCTTCGTACACCACACCATAACTGCCACGACCAACCTCCCGAATTAGATCGTACTTAGGCTGGCTACTCACCATCTTCAAGAGCAAAGGTTCTGGGGAAGGGGGAAAAACCCACAGAACTAAAACTTAGGAACAAGAACTGGGCTGTGTTTTCCCCCCCCCGATAAGGGGGGGGTTTTTTTGGTGTGGCAGTCTACCCAGACCCCGCCATGAAAACAGGGTTGGATTGCTGGAACATTCCAGAAGCTATCCCATAAACCTGCAGCTGTCGCCACGGACCAGGTAAAAAAAAAAGCGGAGTTACATCATTTTTTTTTCGTTAAGATTTCAAACACAGCCCAGTTTTCAAGGTGGCAACAGTTCAAACCTAGACTGGTATCGTGCCGAGACAGGACTATCGTGAGCGTTCCTGCTCCTCTCCCTCTGTGTCTTCCATGAGCATCTGCAGGAATAACAGGAGGGTGTCATGCTCCCCATCCAGCCCGGAGAGTGGGGAGGTTCCAGTTGAAGCCCGTGGGTTGGGCAGTAACAGATTTAATTAACTGCTTTTTATGGAGGTGACTGCGGGAGTAAATGTTTCTGTTATAATTAAGCTCTTTTACTAAGAAAAGACGGAGCTTGGATCGCTCCCAATTTATGTTTTTAATGTGACTGATTTTTCATCGAGTCTCCCCAGCATGAGGAATCTACAGTTACACAAAGTTAAAAAGGGTAACTGATTGCAGAAGTTTGAACCCAGCATCTAACTTTCACTTTTGCTCCACAGAGCAAAGCAAACCAGTTCAGATATTGCTCTAAAAGTAAAACGAGAGAACACACACACACACACAGAAGGAAAAAAAAAAAAAAAAGGCCACCAAACCCTGCTACAGATTTATGACCCTCCCTGCACACTTCCCTGCAAGATTACAAACCAAACACCAGCACCACCTTCACACAACCAAACCAAAATGGGACACTGACTATAGACAGGAATAAATAAAATAAAAAAAAAACAAAACAAAACAAGCCTGGCTGGCCAAGGATCACTGGTCAAATAGA